GTTCAGCTTTTCAATACCTCCTCCTGCTCTTCTGCGTCACCATCCAGTGTGTGTAATGTAATACCCATCAGTACGTTTTCATTAGTGTATAATCACCTGAATATAGGAATCCATATGTTTTTGGGACCTTTTAGACTGAGCCGTTCTCATTCCTTGGGGTCCGCCATGTCCAGCTGCCATCTGCAGTGGCCCAACACCGGCTGTAGCTCGGGGCGTTCACGTTCTTTGCACGGTTCGCAGCCACTGTAGGTTCTTCTTCGCACATATTTTCACTGACACGGCAGCCAAAAATGTTAATAATTCATGATAACATTTCAGCAAATACGGATATGTAGAGGAGTGTGGGAGAAAGAACTTTAATGGTATATGTTGCAAGACATTGTGTGGCCCTCAAATGCAACATAACAGACTAATTACAATAGCTCAGTCTCGCACTATAAGATATTGAGTAAGTGTTTACATTTCAGTACAGTACATTGTATGGATGCCATTATTTTATGCAAACAGCATCTTGAATAGTGAGGCAGTGGGAACAGTAACTCAAACATGCGTGTCCAGGCCCTGTGTATGTTGAGGAAGTCATCTGATGCCATTCACAGCGGCCCATGGAGTCCCATCCCTCGCTGTCTGTGTGGTTAGAATAAAACACTGAAACATGACTTATTTAGTTCCTGTTGGCCTTTAATCAATATGCCAGTGAGCAGCTGAGTCTGTGCACAAACACACTGGAATCAGCAGTTCATAAGCAGCATTGTGACCTAACATTAGTAGATGTGTGTTCTTGCTGAAAAGAAATCTGACTGCAGATTGCCAGTGACTGGCCAATCAGCGTGCCCTGCATAAACGTTCACTGGGTGCGCAAAACCGTGTATACAGTGTCAAGTGAAAGATCTATAGTTTAGATGAACTATAGATCATATATGAAGTAAATTAGCTCGAGGTGGCAGGAGTTGCCATGTTCGTGTAAGTTGAAAATAATTCAGGACCCGAGGAAAAAGGAGGGAAACTGAAATGTGGATTCTGGCGGCCCCAGTGGATAAAAGCATTAATGTTTCCACCGCCACGTTTCATTGAATTCAAGGGGAATCCGACTGAATCCAACCCAGTGGCAGGCTTTAGCAATACGTTTATAGAAACAGCCAATCAGTATTAAATTTAGACTGTTTCATAACCAAGGTTTAAGTAGTAGTATTATTTAATGACAAGCAGCCAAGGGCCATGGTCTGGAATCGAACCCGGGTCCTGTGGTGAGCTTTAGTACATGGGGCGCACGCTTTACCAAGTGAGCTAACGGGCGGCCACGGCTTCAGTTTGTTTCTGTAGACAGCTTTATGGCCTTGTAATGATGGCCTGTCTTAATGTCCTATGTTGTTATATATGGACATGACCTCAGTGATATTGGCTGACCTCAGTATTGCTCGTTGTGTTTACTTGAGTGTAAACAACATTTTAGCATCACCATTATAAGCCTAAGCCTGATATTTAATTAGAATATTTTTAAGAATTGAAAGTTTTTGGTCTTTGAAATGGTGTACTTGTATTGTTATGCTAAACAGACTTTAAATGACAACAATATTGTTTATGGCACTTATTTCTTGGACAATATAGTTATAATAAGCCTCGTGTTGAGGAATTTGGGTTGACACAATGTCGTGATGTGGCTTTTTGGTTTTCCTGGTCTCGTAGTAAAGAGAGTTACGTTTGTTTTTAACAGGCTGAACTAGTTGGTTGAAGTGAACCATGTATGACTCTACATCATCTCTACACTAACTAACTAAGGATGGTCTTTCTCCAAATAATGTTCCGTGTCATTTTCCATTTGAAAGCGATAGCAGTCATACTGTCACAGTACTGTGCCATAGGTCCATAATATAGTGTTTGGTTGTGAAATATTGTGATACTCGATTCTAGTAACAATAACTGTCATCCCCAATAGTCCTTATCTTCTATTGGTCGTTGATTGACAAGAGACGTGTCCATCCGAATGGTCTCAGAGAATAAGGGTTTCCTTACTTTAGTTTAGTCAGTGATATATTTCATTGTGTGACTCTATGTTGGCAGAGTTAACTTTGTTTTAATAATTTGTGCTACAAACAGGGAGTGACCAACCCATCAGAAGATGAGATAAACATGCAAATCTTGAACAAGCTTACCTCACACCAAACATGCAACGTCGCTCTCGCATTACACCTGTTTCAAAACTCCCCAGTAAGCAGTAGAATGGTGTAAACACTGCCAACCACTAGCCCTCTTGGAAATGTGAACACAGCAATCTACCAGGTTTCAAATCACTTAGACAAATAGCTCTTTTACATTATTTCCTTCTGTGTCTTGGTGCTGCGGTAATGAGATTTTAGGTTAATTTCCCTGTGGGCAAAACAAAGTGCATAACATAGTGTACCTAATCATGTGTACTCCTCCCCTCTGCATCAACATCTTAATGTTCTCTCCTTCTCCTCTCTGTGCTGTAGTGGTGATCAGGACAGCCCCGGGCGGACATGACTGGAGCTGGAAGTGGTGAGCACAGTGCCGATAGAGGTTTCATGTGTACCGGACTGGTGACGTACCACATGTTCAAACATACATGTTGCATGAACAGCAAGATCCATCAGTTGTAGTATATCCACGCATCCCCTAGTAGAATATATCTGTATCATTGTGTGTGTGTGTGTGTGTCTCCTGTGTGTTTAGGCGGCCAGGGCCCGCCTGATGGGACGGATGCTGAGGAGGCGGAGAGGTGTCCTATCTGCCTGGGCGTCCTGGCTGGAGGCGAGCTCGCCATGCCCGACAGCTGCTGCCACGTCTTCTGCCTCCGATGCCTCCTCACATGGGCAGAGGTGACGCTCAGTGCTGCTACGCTCAAGCTAGAATTTCATGAAATAAGTGATGACACAGTTGTAAAATAGTATTATCGGCAGTAGCGAATTGGTGTTGGCCCAATCTGGACTTGTTAGAACTTGTGTAGGTGGCTTAGAAATGTTGAAATATGACATTTCTGCAGACTGTCACAGAAATGTGTATCGTATGTTCATTTTAACGTCTAAATAAGCAAGTATTTGTGTTAGGTATCAACCAAGCCAATTACTGACATTGACATTGTGCCAAAAAACATGATTAAATTTGATGATTATGCCAAAAATAACATTTAGTATTTCGTAAGAATGTAATAATCTCAGAGTAGAAAGGCCTATAGAGCATGTAGACCAGCACGAATAGTTTTATAGTTTAAGCTGCGTGGCTTTTTTGTGTGTTAGTGATGTTTTGTTTGTTGAACTTACTGTGAAGTTGCAGATGGCTCCTTCCTGCCCGGTGGACAGACGACCTTTCACTAATGTTTACAGATGGGACGGGAATCTCAGCTGTGTGCAGGTCAGTCTGGATTCTGCTGGTGTTCGGCTGCTGTTGGTGGGCAATTATAGCTGCTGGTGAAGAATGAAATAGAGAACTTCTGCCGGCCGACAAGGTTTTATTTTCTTTGCAAAGAAAAGGTCAATCAACACACGAGCGGTCAAAGATGAAGAAAGACCCCGAACATGGGGAGATCTAAACATTTATACCTGAGGACCACCTCTTTCACACCTCTTTGTCTGCTGTAGGGGTCTGGCCCTCCAGGAAGTGCTTCCACACCCCTCTGGGCCCCCTGCAGACATCGGGGCCGACCCCCCCTGCTGGTGTGTTTTACATATGAGGTGTCCTGCAGGATCTTGCATTCAGGGCTGCCAAAGCCAAGTCCAGACATCACAATCTACAAAACACAAAAGGACCTGGCATCTTGTGTTAGGAAGGGGGAGGTTGGGCATATGTAGTGGCTAAAACAGAGAAACTGAATTTACCATTACAATTCCCCCTTTTGATTATTGATTAATCACTAAACAAAACAAAACAAAACAACAACAAAAAAAATTATAAGAAGAATAAAATAAAATAAAGTATATAGTCACAACTTAATTATCCGACACATTAATTCGCATGGATTTTAAAATGTATCATCATGGCAGTTGTTTAGAAGAGGAAAGAACAAAAGAAAGAAAAGAACAAAAACAAAATCATTATTAACATTATTTACAAAATGTCCTCATCAGAGTCATAGTCTGAGCTGGGGTAATGATGGGGATCAGAAATGTGAAATGAGGCTGGATTTTGATTGTCATTGTTAATGTTTACATGAACATATGTAGAGGATTTGATTATTCTTTTGGTGAGTACATTAGATAGCCATTTTAACACACACGGAATCAAGGTGCTGAGCAAAAAGAAAATAACTACGACTGGGATAATCATTGTTAAAAACCATGATGACCATCCTTGGCCCCAAGATTTTAGCCAAGAGAACCATAAGTCATCTGCTACTGGTGGGGGTCGAATGGCATCTTGCATGTATTTGATGATGTTGGTGATGTTCTCGTATTCATCAGGGACATAAAAACAACAAGATACATTGAGTATTTTGCAAATGCCCCCTTTTTCAGCTAAAATAATATCGAGAACAAGTCTGTGTTGGATAACTGCTGTTCTAATCGCAGACATTTCAGTATTCATTAAGGTAAGAGCCATTTCAGTTTGGTTTGCTAATGAAAGAACAGACCAGGCTAGTCCATTAATTTTGTTCAGGGCGGCAGCTGTTCCGCCACCTAAAAACAGAGACCAGCCAATGTTGGCGTTGGGAGAGGTCCAGGGGTCAGCTAACACATAACCATCATATTTGGAGGGAACGCCTGTAATGTCTCGGTGAACTCGAAAATGCATGGTAGATTGAATATTGGTGGTAGGAGCCTTCTTATGGAAGACTTTCGTATCAGTTGCAACAATTGATGGGTGACAACAACCGGACCACTGAAATTGAGGTGGCAAATTATGATAGGCCTTTCTGCCACAAGACCACATGATTCCTGGTTGGGAGGAAAGCTGTTTAAATGGGCAGGCAAATCTTGTCAGGGTATTATTAGGCCATCTGTGAGAACAATTGGTTGTTGTTGTAGCATTCACAAATATTCTAGTTTGACAACTTGACCGGCCTAGGTAAGGACCTGATGATGATGTTGAACAAACACAAGTCTCTGCATGCTGTAGAGGAACTTCAAATGCCATGTTACTAAGGGTTGAATGGGAATCAATACAGGTAATATTGGGATGTGGAACAACTGAGACATGGTTTCTGATTTGTTGGCCTGCAATTAATAACATCATCATTCCCAAAGGAACAGTGCACTTTCCATGATCTTCTCTGCCCCAAGATTCTTTCATGTGGAACACAATATTTGCCGTCAGGGGTTTCGCTTGCCATTTAGCTGCTAAGGCATGACAAACCCAACAGTCGCCAGGAATCTTCAACTCTTTTTTGTGTAAAAGAGCTAGGGCACATGCACTGTTGTCACTGCATTGTCTGAGCGCTTGTTGCACTGTGTCATCTTTGTGATCAGCGATGTTCAGGTTGTCAAGGTGATAGTCTATCTCAGGGGTTGATGAGACAGTCTTAAGATCTGACAGTATATTAAGTGGGGTGTCATATGGGTCTGGTGGCCCACTGACTATGACTCTGAGTTGTCTGTACATATCGGAGCTTGGATATTCAATTCCACACCAATATGTGCCTGCATCAGTGGATTTGACATCAGAGATGGTGATCTTGGCTCCGTTGGAATTTGGAATTTTTGTGATTATGAAGCGGGGATCTCTGTTTGGAGCAAAGGTTTTATCAGTAGCAGCCACGATCAAGTGCCAATCGTATGGGCCACAGGGGTCTTTGCATAGGTACTTGTCATATTTAGCATAATATGAGTGAATTCGACCTGATCGCCAAATTTCGGGATAAACAGAGCAGGTGAAGGTTGCATTTTGTCCTTCTGTCAGAGTGACGATCTTGGCAGGTTTGTAGGTGTAGGCCTCTGTCAGCATCGTCCAACATAATAGGATCATGATCAGGTGGTGCATGGT